ATTTGACTGCATGTTAGAAATATGTCAAAAGAATGGTCCAAAAAGATACAAGAAGATATCATCGCCATTCACAAACAAGGAACAGGATACAAAAAGACAGCAAATGCACTAAATGTTCCTAGAGACACCTTTGGAAGCATAGTTCACAAGTTCATAGTTTTAGGAACAGTGGTTACACCTGAACGGGACAGAAAAAGGCAGCTATCAACGGCTGCAACCAGATTTCTGAGAAGGCAGGCTCAGAAAAACCCTCCAGTGACTGCAAAAGACCTGATACTAAAGTGTGACCATGTTTTTATTTTTATTATATTTCAAGTAATGAAATGTTTTTAGTTTTAGGTAACTAAAGTAACCATGAATTATGAAAATAATAATATAACCCAGTAGTCATAATGTGAAAGTGCAAACAGATTTTTTTTTTCTTCTTTGGATTGAAATGCGACTTGGACATTGATTCACCCTAAAGTAGTGTTCTTTCACACCAGATACAGACAGGGGTTCCTGGCACAATAGTAAAGTGAGCCCTTCAAATGAATGTCTTTCAGCACACAATAAACTGATTTAAGGTGCTCTGTTAAAGCTGATCCTCAAACCACGAGCCTCACATTGTATTCTCCTCCAAACGGCCCTGTCCTTCCCCTCTCTGCCAATGCGGTATGAAGCAGAACCACAAACACGTTTCATTCCGAGTGCCAGAGATTTGCCCCGACCTGCCAACACAAAATATTTGTGTTTCACTTTCCTGTGTAAATGTTTTGATTGAGACCCGGTTACTATTATGATAGTCACAAGCTCTTTGTAGTGGTGCGGCTGCTGATGTGCTGACGGATGTCTGACTGCTTCTAACAACTAATGCAGCAGCCTGAGAAAGAGAAGCTGTCATCAGCGCTGCCACTACAGCCCAGACTACAGGCCAGTGCAGGAAACACAGAAGCTCAGCTCAGCCAGGCCCACCACAACACACACACACACACACACACAGGCTGCGGCAATGACTCTGCTGTGACACACTGCGTATGACTTTACAAGTAATATTACATAAGAGATGTGCAACCACACGTCACCCTTTAAGGGTACTTGCAGAGGTGAAGAACATTAGAATGTAATGAAATGATTGATAAAAGGAAGCATATGCATTTGCAAATAACTACACTACAGTGAAGGTTTATGTCCATTAGGTACGTGTGTGTGTATGTGTGTGTCTGCGCGCATGTGTGGGTGTGTGTGTGTGCCAATAGGTGCCATAAAAAGATGCTATCACTGTGAGCAGATTTTTTTTATTACAGTTTTTCTCAATCGCTTTGGTGCATTTCTAAAATCATCCTTAATATTTGCAAAGTATGTGCATTCTCAAAACAATTTGTACAAACAGCACCACACACATTGGATTACCTGCCAAAGCCTTACTCAAAATCTTTAGTTCATCTCTCAAAAGTAAGTATTTATGTCAATGAACATATCAGTGCCATCAGAATGAAAAGTCCTTGTGTCATTGTTAACAAATAAGATAGTGAAAATGTTTAGTCATGTTGTCAATAAAACACTGCACTCTGTTAGTATTACCATATGGCAACAGTTTGGATGACAGTTACTGTAATGAAATGTACAAAGCTTCTTCTGTATGCCATATATCCATTTCAAAGGTTACTGTACGTGAGTTATTGATTGAAAGAGACTGGATAGGATTCACAGTTACACTTTTACTAGTGGTCTGACAAAAATGAAAAACATTACAATAGTATTGTGATATAGAAAATAATAAGAAATTGGGGCACAAAGGCGAAAACATTAGAAAGGCAAACACCCTTAGGCAGAACTTTGCCTTTGCATGATGCAGCACTGTATATACGCTTGCCAATTGAAGGTTCATGAGATGCAATGCTGAGCTATTTCAGAGAACTGGTTTCTCATTGGTTGATCTACATTCTCTTCTTTAGTGAAAGTCAAGATTCACCTGCACAATTCATCAATTCATGGCACATTTACAAAAAGTCTAATAGAAATGTGTAGAAAATATGCTTGACAGTTTATGACAACTAGATCAACCATTTAGCATTTAATGACTTATACGATGAACTGATGACTAGATGTTTTGAGGGGTAAGAGAACTATTTAATACATTTTGAGCAACATGGCATTAGCAACTGATAATGGAAACCGCAGACAATTGTACATAATCAATTGCATGAATGTACCAAAGCAATCGCAACTTGTTCAAAAGAATGAGAAACTGCTTTTATGATGTGCACAAGTGACTAGATGATGTGGAGGTTGAACAAATAGTTTTGAATATTTCATTTCTGATCTGAGAAATGCAACAAAGCAACTGAGAAACCTGTAACGTGATGTCCGACAGTCCTGCAGTGACACCTACTGAACACCCTGAAGACATTGTATTTTATTGCATAAAGATAATTAGGCCTATATTTAGGACCACTGCATTTTTTTATATAATTCATATGAATTCCTCAAATTCTCATTCTCATTACTTCTGGAAAAAAAATGAAATAAATCACAATAACTCGTATTTGTGAGGGCAGTGAGGCTGATATATATACTGTATATATATATATTACAAAACCTTTCATCAACATGAATTTTGTACAATCCCGATAAATAACAATACCCGTTCTTGTCAACTTTGATGAACTTCTCTGACCCACTTCAAATGTTGACTACGGTAGGCTACATATATATAACATTACTAATAAGGAAAATAATAGTTTAAATTATCAAGTCCTCTATACTATAATCATAGTAAAAAATACTTATCAGTTGAGTTTTAGAATGAACTAGAAAAGCATTAGCTTAGCCTAAATGTTTTAGTCTGATGGCTTATACTGTAGGTGTTATAGATACTAATGTTTTGTCAATCAAATTATATGAGCTGGCATATTAGGTGAGGAACCGGATATATAATATTTAGTATTTTATCTCCACAAGACAGATATGCTTACATGATCACTCATCGTATAATTATAGGATATATAACAAAATCACAAACTCTAATCAAAACCAATTGAACTAATTCAAACTCTAGATAGACAGACAGACAGACAGACAGACAGACAGGAAGAAAGAAAGAAAGAAAGAAAGAAAGAAAGAAAGAAAGAAAGAAAGAAAGAAAGAAAGAAAGAAAGAAAGAAAGAAAGAAAGAAAGAAAGAAAGAAAGAAAGAAAGTGTTGTGATACCATAGGCTCCTGAAAGGTCAGAGAGTGAAGGTCAGAGAAAACAAATGAACACATTTATGCTTATTCTGTTTTCTTCCTCCCAAACATACACAGTCAGACATGAGTGTTACATCAGTCACTCTTCAAAGCTCGCGAATGCTTCGTGAGGCACTAAAGAAGCGGTCAGGAGTAGTAGGACTGTGTAAAAAAATATAGGTAGCACTAGACTAGACAGGTAGCATTCATTTTCCATGTTCTACCTGAACAAATGAGCTAAGGATCGTTTGGTTTTACCAGAAAGAATCGTGTGCACACTTGTTTCTTGAGTATTTGCGTCAGAAGTTTTTCTATGAATAAATGATAGGCTCCCTCCTGAGTCCTGACAGTTGATTTGCTTCGAAGAACTGCTCGAAAGTTTCTTCCTTGTCAAAGTGAAAATGAAAAACAATTACTGGTCCTTCCCTCAACAATGTTATCCTTTTGTGATTCGATATATCTAGTATGATCTTATATAAGCTGATCTTATATAGATGCTGGTGTTCAGTTTTAGCTGGTTTACAAGCAAGACCAACTTTAAAAAAAAGTGTAGCCAACAAACCCTCTAAAACCAGCCTGGGAGACCAGCGAAGACCAGATAAGGCTGGTTTAGCTCAATTTCAATTGAACCTTTACCACTTTCAATAGTCAACAAATAGTAAATAGAATTAAATATATGTCTTCAATTATTTAGAGTGCGTTTCAAAACATCAGGGGTTTTGCAGTTCTCGTTGCATACCAGCAGATGTCCTCAGTGTGCGAGAGTTTAGTGGTTTGGACACAGGTTTGAAAATCCTTATTTCACTACAGTGTAATATTATTTCAGAGAAAATCTGTATTTTTGGAGGAGTGTTGGCAAAGAGGTGTTTGGCCGGTGCTGCAGACGATGGATACAAATCGCTGTTTTTGTGATTTCTGCACCAAATTCAACTTTCTGTGAGAAAAAAAATATCATATTGAAGTCATTAGAAGTGTTCCTTTACCAATAAGTATGTTAAAAGTTTTTTTTTTTTCCCAGTTTTTTTTTTCATATTGCAATCTTATTGCCAAGATATTTGATCTTAAGTTTTGCTGGTAGGAGTGTACTAATACGATTATAAGAAGTTGTCTTTTGCAGGAAAGCTATCCTGATCTTATTAGAAGAGATTACATTTTTCAACATCTCATTATGAAATCAGTTAAGAAATTTGAAGCGAATAAGTAAGGGATTTCAAAGATTTAAGACTTTAAGATTTAATGTGGATTCAAACACTTGTCAGATTTGTAATAACGATATTGAAACATTTATTTTTTCAATGTTATTTGGTTAATCCATTTTGGAATGAGCTGCTTAATTGGATAAAACATAACTTTCCCCCCATCTTTTACTTTGGATATGGTGAAATTTGAAGTACAGAAATGGAGATGTTGTTATATTGTATTTCCTATTGTAAAATATTTTATTCACAAATGTAAAGTTTTAAACTGCACCCAGTATATATAAAGACCTAGCCTTGCCCATATACTGATGCCTGAACAATTATGAGACCGTATACACCTAGGAAATTATTTGATTTGTTTAACCAGTATGATTTTGTTTACCCCCCTACAGTGTTTATGTATTTTAATAAAAAAAAATGTTTTGTCTCAGTCTGTGAAGTCTTATAGTTTCCCTTATATTTGCCGGTTATGTTAATTTTGGAATGCAAAAAAATAAATAAAAAATACACTGAATCGAGGGCAGAACAGAATGCTGTGGCTTGGATGGCCAGGTGTACTAGTGGATGCCAGAGCAGATCGCTGTGAGTAAATATGCAAATGCCAGGCGCGCTAGCAGATGTCAGAGCGGGCCGATCATGGCTCTGTCGAGAGCACTCAGATGTTGTCAGAGGATTTTCTCCTGGATTCCCGTCATCATCATCTCATCTGTGGTCCTCTGGTCTTATTACGCCTATGTCTTTGAGCTGTGCTTCGGTAAGATTTCACTGTTGACCATTTATGCCGTTGAATTCGCTTATGGTTCTTGTTTGTATGAAACAAGGAAGTCTCATGTTTTTTTCACAATGGTTCGCCAGTTTATTATTTTTGCTATTATTATACAAAATAAATCGGTTTGAGTCATTGTATCCGCTGTTATACCTATGTCATAGCATTGTTTACATGGGCTGTGTCTTCAAACCTATTGATTTGCCTGCCTAGAACCCATACACAGGGCTCTAGAGTGCGACCAATTTGGTCGCATATGCGACCAAAATTTGTAAGGGTGCGACTAAATTTTTTCCAAGGTCGCACCGGTGCACCTAACGTCCTCGCGTCCGCTGCCAAGTTTCCACGAGCGAAGCGCTTGTTCTGCTTTGTCGGAACTCACAGCACACTCATGGTTGGATCATATCGTGGTCTAAACCAATCAGAGACAGAGATAGGGCGGGTCTTTGCCTCTGATTGGCTGTGGTAGGCCTACACTGCTCCGTGCTGTGTGACTGAAATTGCGACCTGAGCACCAGAGAATCAGTTACGGCAATCAGCATCAGCAAAAGAAACGCAAGAAAACAGACGACGAACAATGAAAAGAAATAGACCCATAGAGTTTTTTCTTTTAGAAAAGTAGGCCTGTTTCCACCAACACTCTGCCCGGTACGAATGGGTACCGAAACCCGGTATTCAACTTCTGAAAGACCGCTGTGTCGATCAGCTCGGACGTGATGTGTTCTGATGTCGGTAACTTACTGGAGAAATTAAGAAAATACACATACTATTTATTATTACTATAAAGACGTTATTTAAAAAAAGAATTTATCTTGCGAGCCTTTTCTGTGTATAATAATATTACACCATTTTTGCTATTCGCAGTCCAAGAGAGAGAGAGAGATCTCTCACGCGGAGCCACAGCGCGCAAAGCACGACAGCTCTGCTTAATGAGTGACGACGCAGAACTAAACATTCAAACGTAGCCTGGTTACACTTTAGGTCTGTGATATTAGTCTGATTTTGTTTTAGATTTCGGCTTCCAAAGATTATAAAAAAATATATTGAGGTAAAACCATTAAAAACTACAGACACATTCGGTCTGGCGCAGCTTCCTTCCATTCGCAGCAGTGCGCTGTCACTTCTCCCTAAAACTCAAAATTAACGACAGAATCAGCTCGTGATTGTTGTAAAATGCAGTCCAGCTACTGTTGCTAAATTGCGGGACGCGTTTAATAATAAAAAGAGCTATTAAAAGCACAAAAGTCTGCACAAGAGATGCTGTTCCCAAGGCGACGCACGCTCTAAAAACAGAACGTAACGAGACAAGCAAATTATACTTTGGGTTTCATGTGCGTGTCTAAACTATCAAATGTACACAAAAATATGTCAAAATGACCGGCTTGTATTCACAGCTCTTGAATTAATAACTTCAGCTTTAATAAGCATTATCTATCTATGATAAAATATGCAGTGTTATTTTACATTTGATTACTTTATTAGATTTCTTTTTAGACCATACTTGAACAGTAGCTAATGTTAGTAGACCTTCCTGAAATTAAAGCACTGTGTAGGCCTATATAATGTGCATCTTTGTTTAATTGTTTATCTTTGTTTATAAAACAAAAAGAACCGATAAGAATACTGTTAAAGTACCGGATCGCTAAGGAGTATCTGTAAGAGTAGTAATACCGTTAAAACCTTATGGATACCCATCCCTACTCCCCGGTCAATGCTCCGACAACAGCCCAGACATGGAGCTACTTCAGCCACCCGTCTCCCCAGTCCCTGTAAGATGCCAAGCCCTGGTCCTTCCTCGGTGAGCCTACCGAGCCTGAGCTAGAGACTCAAAATAGTTAGTTTGGCAGCTCAGTGAAGCACAATTTTTTTTTTTGTATACAATATAATTGTGCTTCAAATTAAAAAAAAGTATTTACCTACACCTTGTTCTTGTTTAAAATCATTTACATAATATATATGCATGTATATGGAGCATGATAAAAAGCTGAGCTTGAAATTGTGGCGTTAAAGGCGACGCGAGCCGAGGAAACATTTGGGTGCACCTAAATTTTGTGCTGGTGCACCTAAATAAAAAAGTTAGGCGCACCAGTGCAACCAAGGCAAAAAATTAGTCTGGAGCCCTGCATACAGCATCATAGTGTCTGAATAATCCCTGTGAGGCCATGATTTCAGTACTTTCTGCCTATTTTCTGCTGGTTTTGAGACACAGATTATGTTTCACGACACTGATCCTGATTGATTACCTGTTTTTCAGTTACTCTCAGTAATCATCTGGAGAGGGGTAAGTGAACTTCAGTCACTGCTTATTAGACAGAAACCTGCCTTCTTGATCTATGAATGGGCTTTTGTTTAAAACGTGAAAGTGGAAATATCATTTTTCTTGTTCTCTCAGTTGACCTAAGCTTGCAGCTTGTCATCAACAAAGTGCACAAAACAGAACTTTACACACATAATGGGGTAAAACAGAACGACATGTTAGCAGCACATTATAGTTAATCACACTGTAGTTCAGCATAAACTTAGTCTCTATGTAACTGACTTAGTTATGGCCAGTTAAGTCTTAAAGAAAAAATCATATGAGTCATTTGTAAGACTTGAATAAGCAGTTTATGCAACTGTGGTTACACTGTGGTCCACAATCACAAAAACACCAGCTGATTCAAAGTCATTGCAAAACAACAACAAAAAAACAGTGCGACTGCGGTTGAGCCTAGGGCTGCGTTTACACTGCGATCTTTTGACCATATCTGATATTTTGGCCCGCCTGTTTACATTCACTTCGATATCTGTGTTACAGTAGTTACACCCAAAATTATCGTCGGGGATCACTTTACTATGCACATAGTAGAGCCTCTGGTTTTGAATGGTCATGCTATTAAAATTATTTATAATTCATGTCTGGTGGCCATGATTATTTGCCAGCATTGACAAGATAACAGCTGTCATGGATGTTTCGCAGCAACAAATCTGACAGAACGGATATAGACCGGAAAATAACGTTAATTTCTTGTTATTTTATCTACGGCTCCTTAGATCTAGAATTCTGAAGTGAAATAAAGTAGCGCTGTAAGATTAAATTTTTATAAATTAATTTGAATGAATTAAATAACGAGAGAGAGAGAGAGAGAGAGAGAGAGTATCCTAATAGTGAAGCGTTTTTGTTTAATTACAGCAAAGTTATCAGCTCTCTGCTGAGAACAGTAATGCAGCTTTTAGGGAAAATATGCGATGTTGTTGTTGAGTATTGCGATAACGATATGTCTTGAAATGCTATTTTCATTAGCTATTTAAAAAAAGACACATTTGGATGTGGCTCAGATCGGATGTGAAAAAATCGGATCTTGTGCAGATTTTTTTCTGTTTAAACACGTGTTCAACAAATTCCGATCTGTGTCAGATGTGAGTAAAAAATCTGATTTTTTGTGCCAGTGTAAACACAGCCCTAGTTATATACACCCTCATTGGTCTTATGCTGTGTCACTCTTAGCATTTATCAACTTATGACAAATGTAATGACATATGACTTTACTATAACATGTAATGTGTGTTTTTTGTTTCCACAGTGGCCTATTTGTTGATATTCCATGTTTGCTTTATAATGTTCTGGTGGACCTATTGGAAGGCCATCTTTACTTCACCATCTACACCGTCTAAAAAGGTGCTTGTGATTTAATGTTTTTTGTTAGTGATTCATGAGTTAGTTGTCTTAATAGTTAATCCCCCTGTAGTCAATAATTGTATCCCTTAAAACTCACCTTTGATCACAAAAATGACATATTTAAAGGTTTTGTCCTTGAAATTTTTTCATGTCTTAAAATAGCTTGAATGTAACTCGACATCCTTGCCTCATTTAGTATGCGCGGTTCTATGAATATGCAAATGAGCCCCGCCTCCACTCACTCACTCAGCTCAGAGATCCACTGGTTGACGATCACACGTTGATCTGATTGGTTACAAGGTCGTTTGTGACGTCAGAAACACCAGCGATTTCAAACCATGTTTGTGAGACTGTCTTTGATTCACTGCAGTTTTAAGCAGAAAATACTCAGCAATGCTGTCGACTTATGAATTTACACATGGTTTGTCTTAAAGCATATTAAAAACACCACATAGACACATATAAACGACATTAAACGCTTGATTTTCACCACAGGGGGGCTTTAAATAGTGCTTGTAAGAATCAGAATGTGGCAATGCCTGAGTCATATTTTACTCCATGTAAAATTATATTATACTTAATTATAAATAATATGCAGTTACTCTTTCTTTGCCACAGTCACTTGCTTACTGGCAGTTTACAGATAAATATATTTCAGAATTTGAGACAATATTACTGCAATTTATATATATTTGTAAAGCTGCTTAGAATCAATGGCCATTGTGAAAAGTGCTTTATAAAAATGTATTTAACTCATTACTGTAATGTGAAATTATTGTAATAATAATATTATTAATAAAATCTATCTAATTTATGGTGGTGCTTTTTAAACCACCTTTGTGCCTGTTTTTTATTTTAAACATTGTATTACTGTAATTTCCTTTTGTAGTTCTGTATTTACAATACATGGCAATTGTAGGTGAACTTTTCTTGATTGTCATGCAAAAAAATCCTAATGATGCTGTAATAAGACTTCAGCTTCTTCATTCATACGTTTGATAAAGTTTGAAATTGTCTGTGCTCTAGTTCCAGTTATCATACACTGATAAAGAAAAATATGAGATGGAAGAGAGACCGGATGTTCAGAAGCAGATCCTCGTGGATATTGCCAAGAAACTTCCCATCTTCACGCGCGCTCAGTCTGGAGGTACACAGAGCCACCTGTCTTTAATGTGTACATTTCCACAGCAGCTGCAGCTATACAGCCATTTAGCAGAATGTTTGCCGGTTAAACATGTGATCGGATGTGAAGGCGGGCAGCTGATCTCCTTTATCTCCATGTCTCCAGCTATCAGGTTCTGTGATCGTTGTCAGGTGATAAAGCCAGACCGCTGTCACCACTGCTCCGTGTGTGAAACGTAAGTCTAGCAACACACCAATCCCAGTTCCTGATAACAGATCTCTCTACACAAAAGCCTTATTTTAATTAAAGTTACAAGCTGACGGTGAACAACATGACCTGGAATCACTATGTCTTTTTTCCCCCTGTGTTTTTATAGATGTGTTTTGAAAATGGATCACCATTGTCCATGGTATATAAACATTTATTATATTATGAATAATTTATTGTTTTCAGTTCTGTTAGGTACGCTATGTAACTTTTTCTGTTAAAAAATTAACATCTTTTAAATAATGAGTCAATACATCATCAATCTTTCTTCCAAAACTTATTTTTTGTTTTATCCTGATTCATTATTATAAGCGTTTATATTTTAGACCTGACTGGAGGCGTTTCACTGGGAAATTCCCTACATGCGTCAATCGCCCGTGTGTGTCTCATCTTATCCGTAAATAGAGGACTGTTGGTCTGGCTGCTTTGCCGCATGTCTGGTGTGGGAGTGGCAGGGGTTTGTTGATTGTGTGTGCTTGCATGTGTGTGTGTGAACAGAGGAGAGTCTGCTGGAGAAAAGAGAATGAGACCGAGCTCGTAATAAAACAAGAATCAACATCAGATCGTCTGTGTGTGTGTGTGTGTGTGTGTGTGTGTGTCTGAACAGAGGAGAGTCTGCTGGAGAAAAGAGAACGAGACAGAGCTGGTAATAAAACAAGAATCAACATCAGCTTGGCTTTAGGAGATGGAGAGAACTGAGGGGTTTGAAGTGTTGTAAAAGCGAGGTGGAGATGATGGTGTTTTATTACTCAACAGGAGAGGAAGTGTTTTATTGAACAGATAAACTGCCATATGTAGCTCTCTAACATCGTAAAGCACTATCTCGTTTACAATTTGTCCAAAATGCTACGGCCCGTTTTCTGTGCGGGAAAAAAGAAGAGAGAGCATATTACACCAATTCTAAGATCATTGCACTGGTTACCGGTGTGTTACAGAGTAGAATTTTAAAGTATTACTTTTAGTTTATAAATCTTTGAATGGATTAGCTCCAACGCATCTAGTAGAATTATTAAAGGAGTCATAACCTAGTATTACCTTGGATACCCATGCTCTATTATAGTCTTTCAGGCCCTTCTAAAAAAGAAAAGTGAAAAAAATAAAAATAAACACAGAGCTCCTCTGACCCTTATTTCTGAATGCATTATTGTCTCGCGAGATCTGATGCGATATTTTGGCTGTCGTGGACTGTCATTTTAATAATGCAAATGAGGGGCGCGTTGATTGGTGGCAGGAAGGAGGGGGCTTGACACCGCAGGTAACATTCCAAAATGACATCATGGCGCAAGTTGTGAATGAACCCGACCTGGCCGCGACCGTCACTACTGTAGTGTAAAACAAAGTGGAAAGATGTGGCTAGCATTCGTAGAGTCCATTCCTCGTGTTTACCTCGAAGCTAACGTTACATTCAATAGCCGCATTAGTAGTTAGCTGCTGTTTGTTACACACAGTAGAGTAATAAAAACACAGTCTTACCGTTTCAATTTCAGGCAAGTCCCTGATTGTTGGAATGGCACCTTTTTCCAAACGTAGCTTCGAGGCCAACTTCACCTGATATCGCCCCAAATTTGTAAAGGATTCCTGTGTAAAATGTTTAGCGCAGACACCTAACGTTGAGCCAGTTGATAGGGTTGTTGGAACAGCGTCATTAAAAATGAATTTCATCCACTGGTCCCTGGTAGTTTGGTCCGTTTTTGGTAGAGAAAACACATTTGAATGTTGAAACTGGCAGTCAACCACAGAGCAACTCACGTGTGCACTACATTTCTGCATTTTTCTTGACTGAATATGAGTGGGAGATGGGCAGGGCGGGCCTCCTCTGCGGTGTCCATATATGGTATATCCTGCCCCGTCTTGACGTCAAGTCGGGGGAGAAATTAAAATCTCGTATTTGAGTGCGCGTGCATGTGGGCTGGTTTACGAACCCTGGGGTAAACAAACGCTTCACTTTTGAATATCGGCTTCCCGGCCAATGTATAATTGTTAGGCAATCATAACATACATTGATTCTCGTGGAAAAGTGAAAATTACAGGTTATGACTCCTTTAATAGAACAAAAGCCTGCAAGGTCTCTACGCTCTTTAAATCTGGCCTTGCTGTCTACCCCAAAATCGCGGCTAAAGCGCAGAGGAGATCGAGCGTTTTGCATCGCTGCACCTATAGACTTTGGAATACTCTCCCAATTAGCTTAAAGGAGAACTGCGGTCAATTTTAACATTGAGCTCATTTTTTTGTACATTTGGAGTGCTGTCAGTACAGAGAACAACGACAAAAATCAGTGTTGCCTACACCGTGTTATCTTCTTTTTAAAATGTGCACCCTGTTGACTTCAATGGGGCAAGTTCTAAACCTGCTTTTAGCCTCTTAACAACCTTAATGTGTCATTACAAGTGCATAGTCGATTGTCGAGTTCGCGCGCGCGATCATTAGTTATATTAGTTACCAATGAATGCGCACGAACTCGACAATCGACTACTGTGGACTTCGAACGAAAACAGGAAGTAAATACAGGTATGTGAGCCGGCTGAATTCACATAATTTTTATTCATATCTTTCCCATCTACTGCAGTCAGATTGACCGTGTTCACTCTTAATGAAATCACTCACATGGGTGTGCACTTGTAATGACACATCAAGGATGTTAAGAGGCTAAAAGCAGGTTTAAAACTCGCCCCATTGAAGTCAACAGGGTGCGAATTTTAAAAAGAGGATAACCCGGTGTAGGAAACACTGATTTTCGTCGTTGTTCTCTGTACTGACAGCACTCCAAATGTACAAAAAAAATGAGCTCAATGTTAAAATTGACCGCAGTTCTCCTTTAAGACAGGCTCCATCTCTTACTAGTTTTAAATCCAAACTTAAAACATATGTATTTTCAAAAGCTTTTGATTAAAGACTGTGTTTTTATATGTGCTTACATGTTACTTAAATATAAAGGTCCTTATTTATTTGTGAGTCTATGTGGAAAGCACATTGGTCAACAGCTGTTGTTTTTAATAGTGCTATACAAATAAATTGTCATTATCTATTGTGAAGATCATTTCATAATGGTTGTTGTGCTGGAGCTACAAGGAAGTAGCGTGTCTATTAATGGGTAAAACTACAGTAACGTCTTAATCTAGTCAGCTTAAGATCCTTTCCATCTAAACTGGTTATATCTCTTAAGCCTAGTAATGTGTTTAATGAGCAGGAGGATAACCAAAATCACCCGCACAGTCACGCAGAGCCGAAGAACAACCAAAACAATGTTCTTCAGCAGAATGCATGCATTTTTTTTTTTTTTTTTTATGCTAGAGGGCCAAAAGTTACATAGTGTACCTTTAAAATGTTTCTCATAGGCAACAATATTATAGTTTGAAGGATCTGAAATGTTGTATATGTGACGTTTTTGTCTTCTGTACTCTTTAGGGTAAACAACTGTGTTGGATTCTCCAACTATAAGTTCTTTCTGCTGTTCCTGTCTTACTCCATGATCTACTGCGTCTTCATCGCATCAACAGTGTTTCAGTACTTCCTCAAGTTCTGGGTGGTGAGCAGTTTTGACTTTTAAAATCAATTGAGCTCAAATAAACCTAGGCAAGTATTATAAACTATAAAACTTACAGATAAAGGGTTCTTACGGTCATGGAAAACCTGGAAATATGAGGGAATTTTATATTTCCTGGGACTTGGGAAAGTGAAGGTCATTTTTTATATACAGTATATAGTTAATGTATATCTTTATTATGCTTTGTACTAAAATATTTAATCAGAGCATTATGTTGAACTCAATTAACCCACACAGTTAAAATATCATGTTCTTTATCTTGCCTTTCCAATTAGAGACAACAACATACTTTTACATTGTTAAGCTAATTGCCATTTAATTAGTTATTTCAGTGAAGTGTGTCTCTCTTTTGCTAATTGTCACTTACTAAAATCATTATATATAATTATTATCATAATTTGTTTGGTATTATACCAAGTCACTGAACCATTTAATTCTACATGTGCACAAGAGAAAAAGCCTTATTTGTTTATTTCAGTGATGGAGGTTATAAGTGATCATTTGAGTTAAATAGATGTGAAAGGTTCCCCAATAATGTTGAATTTAATATGAATAATTATGCTGCCTTCACGTGTTATCGGAAATTTCCTTCTGAAGTCGTGATTACAAGCTGGTCGCATTCAAGTGCTTTTGTGTCAGAAAGAACAGGAATCATGGAGGACACCAGGTTTATTCTTGCACATTTATTGGGAAAATCTTGTTAAAGCCAAAATGCTATGTAGCGTCCCGTTCATTGACAAACATATAAACATTCACCACACTATCTAGAAAAGATGGTCAGCTTGCTGACGATTTAGGACTTTCTGTCAAATATAGGCTATTTTCATTGTGTATAAAACATACAATACACTTTGAATCATAAATAATTTATATGCACTACTTTAATGACAAGACAAGGTGATGTAGCTGTTGTGGAAAAACTAAAAAGAAAAGCAGTCAGAGCCAGCAATCGTTCTCTCCTCCACCATGTTTAAAGTATATCACAGAAACTTGATTTCAAAATTATTCCAGAGCTTCCCAGTGGTAAATACGACTTGAGGTCATGTTCATGCTAATTTTTACGATAATTCCGATAACACGTGATACTTATACAGCTGTTTTCCACATCTGATTTTAATCAATGTCTCTAATTCTCTTTCAAGTTTTGACCATATGATTTTTATTATGTTCTGACACGTAAAACCATAACATTTGAAAGTGATCTTTCTTTTTCACATTACTGTATGCTAGTGTACTCTTTAAAGCTAATAAACTACTGTATAAGTAGATATACACTTACAAAAAAAAGCATTAGCATTTACAATCTTAGTTGAAGAATGCAATTTGAAATCTGCCATCAATAGTTCAGATCTGTATTTGCCATGTGGCTAATGACCCTAGAGCTGCAGGAAAATGAGATCATAACAGTGCTGATTGGTTGATGGCACCAAAAAAAACAAAAAAACTCTTCCGAGCTATGAAGTCAAAAAGAGCAGAAAGTAGCAAAAAGGTTGATTTGAAGAACCCTCTTTAAAAATAAATGAAATTGGTAAAACCTCTCAGGCCAAGTACCACCTTCAATCAAATTAGAACAGCCAATCGTGTTCCTGGAGATCTACCTTCCTGCAAAGTTCAGCTCCAACCCTGATCAAACACAACTGAACCAGATAATTAAGATCTTCAGGAGCACTTTTTTAATTACAGACAGGTGTGTTGGATCAGGGTTGGATCTGACTCTGCAGGTAGGTAGATCTCCAGGAACAGGATCGGGAACCCCCTGAATCACAACAAAGTACTAGCTAGTCATCACCAATGTTTCTTCTATTTTTAGCATTGAACAAATACAAATCTATTTGAGCACAAGCTTAAAGGAATAGTTCACCCAAAAATGAAAACCCGTACCAAACCCGTAAGACTTTCGTTCATCTTTGAAACATAAAAATGAAGATCTTTTCATATGAAATCTGCGTGATTTCCGTCTCTTCATTGGTTGTGTTTCCATCCAAATGTGAAGTGAATCTTTTTAAAGTTCTCAAAAAAACAAAAAAACATATGCAAATTATCAGGGGTGTGACGAGATCTCGCGAGACTAAAACATGACGAGATTTCTCGTCAGGTGAAAACAAAGCTGTCTCGCGATATCGCCATGACTGAGCGTGAGGGTGAGATTACCATTTCACCGCTACACTCACATTCGCCTAAACTATCGTTTTGCTGTTTTTATAAAAAAAATAAAAACCATTGTAAAATAATGTAAAAGTCTGCTCTGCTCATCCAGCACGAGTTGCCGTTGCAATCAGTGCAGCACGAATCACAGTTCAGTGATCGCGTGAGGATGGCGGAGGATTCGTTGCGCAACATCTAAAGTCTGATTTAACGTCCAAAATGTCTTATTGTGGGATACACGCTCAGCACAGCTGCTCATACACAGAGTACGCGCGATCACGAAAGTGAAAGTAAAACACAAGCTCCCTGATGTGCATTGCGCATAAATTAGGCCGCGAACATACAATAGTTCGTCTCCTGTTAGTTTGCGGCTATGGTCTCAGTTTGCACTTCGAATATATTGAGAGAGTACTGTAATGTCTTAAAGACAACAGACAAGGGAGGCTCTGTTTCTGAACTTATAATCGGAACGCAAGAACAGCTGTAGAGACAAACATGCCAGCCTCGTTTCTCTCTACCCGGCCTTTTCCGAACTCACCGCATTAACCCTATAACTGCCGGTGCAAAATAAAACAGCAATTTGAAAACAATTATAAAGAGTCTGTGTGCTAACTTTGATTATGGTTGCACTTGCACTTATTGTTTGCACTTAATAAGACTTCAAGGAGTTCAGGAGGTCACACACAGCCTCAATCAGAAGTTCTGAAAGCTCTTAAATGTACAGTAAGGGCTGAAGAGACTAATGTGAAATCATACAGAGAAAAGTCAGTCAATAAAAACCTTTTACAGTGCTTGTATATTGTTTTTTTTTTCAATGCATTTGATAATTCATACTTATAATGCATGTCATTTCAGGTCTACTTTATAAGATTATTAGTTAAACATTGCAGAATGCACCTGCATACTATTTTTCCAGTCATGAATTTTGTCATTGAGGATTTCTGAAAAATTTTGCAAAAATCTCGTCTCGTTTCGTTCTCGTGAACCCAATCTCGTGTCTCGTCTCGTGAGATAAGCGTCTCGTCACACCCCTACAAATTATCCATCAAGTTGTTTGAGCGGATGACGGTGGTAGTGGGAACCAAGTAACCGTAGTAGCAACTGTAAATCGTTTCCCATCGTGCTTTTGATCAGCGCAGTCGGTGGAGAGCAACTGTGCGCGACTGCAGAATCCGACACGTGATCGGAAAGCACGATGATCAAAAGCACGATGGGAAACGATTTACAGTTTTTTGACATCTCGCGAGAGTTTTTTGACATAAGTCAGCATGACATCAGAGCAAGTCTGACCGCACTCGGACACATTTCTAACCGGTATGCATCTCGCGCTGATCACCGCTGATCGGTTCTGCGCAGCTTTTGCTCATCTCAAACAAGCCTATTCTCGTGTTACGCAGCACGTTTGAGCTTCAGCAAGAACCAATGAGGTTCATTCTCATGTTACGCAGCACGTTTGAGCTTCAGCAAGAACCAATGAGGTTCATTCTCGTGTTACGCAGCACGTTTGAGCTTCAGCAAGAACCAATGAGGTTCATTCTCCTGTTACTCAGCACGTTTGAGCTTCAGCAAGAACCAATGAGGTTCATTCTCATGTTACGCAGCACGTTTGAGCTTCAGCAAGAACCAATGAGGTTCATTCTCGTGTTACGCAGCACGTTTGAGCTTCAGCAAGAACCAATGAGGTTCATTCTGGTGTTACGCAGCACGTTTGAGCTTCAGCAAGAACCAATGAGGTTCATTCTCATGTTACGCAGCACGTTTGAGCTTCAGCAAGAACCAATGAGGTTCATTCTGGTGTTACGCAGCACGTTTGAGCTTCAGCAAGAACCAATGAGGTTCATTCTCCTGTTACGCAGCACGATTGAGCTTCAGCAAGAACCAATGAGGTTCATTCTCATGTTACGCAGCACGTTTAAGCTTCAGCAAGAACCAATGAGGTTCATTCTGGTGTTACGCAGCACGTTTGAGCTTCAGCAAGAACCAATGAGGTTCATTCTCGTGTTACGCAGCACGTTTGAGCTTCAGCAAGAACCAATGAGGTTCATTCTCATGTTACGCAGCACGTTTGAGCTTCAGCAAGAACCAATGAGGTTCATTCTCGAGTTACGCAGCACGTTTGAGCTTCAGCAAGAACCAATGAGGTTCATTCTCATGTTACGCAGCACGTTTGAGCTTCAGCAAGAACCAATGAGGTTCATTCTGGTGTTACGCAGCACGTTTGAGCTTCAGCAAGAACCAATGAGGTTCATTCTCATGTTACGCAGCACGTTTGAGCTTCAGCAAGAACCAATGAGGTTCATTCTGGTGTTACGCAGCACGTTTGAGCTTCAGCAAGAACCAATGAGGTTCATTCTCCTGTTACGCAGCACGTTTGAGCTTCAGCAAGAACCAATGAGGTTCATTCTCCTGTTACGCAGCACGTTTGAGCTTCAGCAAGAACCAATGAGGTTCATTCTGGTGTTACGCAGCACGTTTGAGCTTCAGCAAGAACCAATGAGGTTCATTCTCCTGTTACGCAGCACGATTGAGCTTCAGCAAGAACCAATGAGGTTCATTCTCATGTTACGCAGCACGTTTAAGCTTCAGCAAGAACCAATGAGGTTCATTCTGGTGTTACGCAGCACGTTTGAGCTTCAGCAAGAACCAATGAGGTTCATTCTCGTGTTACGCAGCACGTTTGAGCTTCAGCAAGAACCAATGAGGTTCATTCTCATGTTACGCAGCACGTTTGAGCTTCAGCAAGAACCAATGAGGTTCATTCTCGAGTTACGCAGCACGTTTGAGCTTCAGCAAGAACCAATGAGGTTCATTCTCATGTTACGCAGCACGTTTGAGCTTCAGCAAAAACCAATGAGGTTCATTCTCATGTTACGCAGCACGTTTGAGCTTCAGCAAGAACCAATGAGGTTCATTCTGGTGTTACGCAGCACGTTTGAGCTTCAGCAAGAACCAATGAGGTTCATTCTCATGTTACGCAGCACGTTTGAGCTTCAGCAAGAACCAATGAGGTTCATTCTGGTGTTACGCAGCACGTTTGAGCTTCAGCAAGAACCAATGAGGTTCATTCTCCTGTTACGCAGCACGATTGAGCTTCAGCAAGAACCAATGAGGTTCATTCTCATGTTACGCAGCACGTTTAAGCTTCAGCAAGAACCAATGAGGTTCATTCTGGTGTTACGCAGCACGTTTGAGCTTCAGCAAGAACCAATGAGGTTCATTCTCATGTTACGCAGCACGTTTGAGCTTCAGCAAGAACCAATGAGGTTCATTCTCCTGTTACGCAGCACATTTGAGCTTCAGCAAGAACCAATGAGGTTCATTCTCATGTTACGCAGCACGTTTAAGCTTCAGCAAGAACCAATGAGGTTCATTCTGGTGTTACGCAGCACGTTTGAGCTTCAGCAAGAACCAATGAGGTTCATTCTCGAGTTACGCAGCACGTTTGAGCTTCAGCAAGAACCAATGAGGTTCATTCTCATGTTACGCAGCACGTTTGAGCTTCAGCAAGAACCAATGAGGTTCATTCTCATGTTACGCAGCACGTTTGAGCTTCAGCAAGAACCAATGAGGTTCATTCTCATGTTACGCAGCACGTTTGAGCTTCAGCAAGAACCAATGAGGTTCATTCTCATGTTACGCAGCACGTTTGAGCTTCAGCAAGAACCAATGAGGTTCATTCTCATGTTACGCAGCACGTTTGAGCTTCAGCAAGAACCAATGAGGTTCATTCTCATGTTACGCAGCACGTTTGAGCTTCAGCAAGAACCAATGAGGTTCATTCTCATGTTACGCAGCACGTTTGAGCTTCAGCAAGAACCAATGAGGTTCATTCTGGTGTTACGCAGCACGTTTGAGCTTCAGCAAGAACCAATGAGGTTCATTCTCGAGTTACGCAGCACGTTTGAGCTTCAGCAAGAACCAATGAGGTTCATTCTCATGTTACGCAGCACGTTTGAGCTTCAGCAAGAACCAATGAGGTTCATTCTCATGTTACGCAGCACGTTTGAGCTTCAGCAAGAACCAATGAGGTTCATTCTCGAGTTACGCAGCACGTTTGAGCTTCAGCAAGAACCAATGAGGTTCATTCTGGTGTTACGCAGCACGTTTGAGCTTCAGCAAGAACCAATGAGGTTCATTCTCATGTTACGCAGCACGTTTGAGCTTCAGCAAGAACCAATGAGGTTCATTCTCGAGTTACGCAGCACGTTTGAGCTTCAGCAAGAACCAATGAGGTTCATTCTCATGTTACGCAGCACGTTTGAGCTTCAGCAAGAACCAATGAGGTTCATTCTGGTGTTACGCAGCACGTTTGAGCTTCAGCAAGAACCAATGAGGTTCATTCTCCTGTTACGCAGCACGTTTGAGCTTCAGCAAGAACCAATGAGGTTCATTCTGGTGTTACGCAGCACGTTTGAGCTTCAGCAAGAACCAATGAGGTTCATTCTGGTGTTACGCAGCACGTTTGAGCTTCAGCAAGAACCAATGAGGTTCATTCTCATGTTACGCAGCACGTTTGAGCTTCAGCAAGAACCAATGAGGTTCATTCTGGTGTTACGCAGCACGTTTGAGCTTCAGCAAGAACCAATGAGGTTCATTCTCCTGTTACACAGCACGTTTGAGCTGAAAATTTGGATCACACCTGAGACCTTAGTGCCCAAATGTGTCCACGAAGGTGGAATTAAGGGCTGCTATATGGAGGCTTGAGGGTTAAATCGATCATCACTCTTCAGAAAATTTGGACTACACCACTCAATTTAGATGGATTAGTTTTACGATCCCTTTATGAACTTTTTAAAGTGTCAAAGTGTCAGTTGCGTAGCTGTCAATGGAAGAAAAGGAAGTTCTCAGATTTTATAAAAAAGAAAAGTGTTCTGAAGATGATGAAAAGTCTTATGGGTTTGGAACGACATGTGAAGGACTGTGACCGACATTCACATGATGACATATTTTTATCAACATCAATATTCCTGCAGTATTTCTCAGTCAAAAACAGTTCATTCTTGCCTACGTAAAATCAGCTCACAGTGTAGGACAGCCAAATTAAAGAAAAATTAAAATACTTAATTTTCTCCCCCTCATGTCATTCTAAACCTTTGAGCATTCATTTTCTCTGTGGAACACAGTGTTGCTTTGGACTTTCATTTTTTTCCCAACTGTTTTTGTCTATTCATTCTTCAAATGATTTTATCTTGTGGGTGTTCTGTAGAAGAAAGAAAGTCATACAGGTTTGAGATGACAGATTTAATAAATAATGACTATCCCTTTATGGGCAAGTAGAATGATATTGGCTTTTTGATGATAGCCACAGTTTTTGCATGTGAATGAAGTTGTGGTGTGTGCACTTGTACAGGTAGATACAAAGAGATTCTTTCAAACTGTGCTCCGTCATTATAACTTGGGAAAAATAACCTTTTTTTATAATACAAATGTGCATTTGTTAGTTTTGTTAAACGCATACATTTCAAGTCTCTTTGCATTTGTTTGTTAGGGAGATCTGCCCAATGGCTCCGCGAAATTCCACGTGCTCTTCCTGTTGTTTGTGGCTCTCATGTTTTTTGTCAGTCTTATGTTCCTGTTCGGCTACCACTGCTGGTTGGTGGCTAAAAACAGATCGACGCTAGGTGAGGAAACCTTCACTTCTTTTTGTACTGAATTCCCTGATTATCATTTATCCTTTCATTGTGTTTCTGCAAGACGTTAAAAGGTCATAGCTGTATACTGCTTGCATGACCTTTGGTAAGCAGATGTGATTTATGTGGCTCATTATTTTTTTTGTGGACTGTTTGACCTCCATGAACGTTTCTGTTTTCCAGAGGCGTTTTCTGCACCAGTGTTTCAGAACGGGCCTGACAGGAATGGTTTTCATGTTGGGCTCAGCAGAAACCTCCAGCAGGTGTTTGGGGAGGATAAAAAGCTCTGGTTTATTCCTGTGTTCACAAGGTGAGCTCATATCAAAACTGGTCGCACTCTGAAACACCACTTGATGATGGCCAAGCACACACACACACACAGCTGATGCGAAGCTCCGCCCCCTCGTCAATATCAGGACCTTGTCAGTATTTCTTTCACCCTTTTATTGATGGACAGTGTTACATTGTGAGAGAGATTATTTGCTCCAAGTGAGAATGTTGGTGTGAAATTGAACACAGTAAATGCCAATGTTGTTTTCAATAAAAAAACATTTGCACAAAGCAAGCCGATCCACTTTTCCATGTTGATAAGAGCATTAAAATGAGAAAAAATAATGGGACAAAAAGAAATCAAGAGACATTTAGAATAGATAAAAATGTGTGATTAATTGCGATTAATCGTGAGTTAACTATGACATTAATGCGATTAATCGCTTCACAGCACTAATATAAATGGATACAAATTTCAAAATACACAATGAAGTATGCCTTATGTAAATATTTTCCATGTGTTCTGTGTGTTTGTATGTAATAGTCAGGGTGATGGGCACTATTTCCCGCTGAGGACCCTGCGTGAATCTGAGAATCCTCTATTGGCCAATGAGGAGAAATGGTTAGAGGACGGTGGATCAGATGAGGAAAGCGCAGGTGAGATCAACAATAAGTGATTTTAATAGTATGTTATACATTTAAATGTATCTTTAAATGCAACAAACTAAAGCTCAGTATGTAATTTTGTACTTCAATGTACTATCAGGTATATCTGAAATACGTTGGTGCCACCAAATGCCACAACATAAAGGGATAGTTTATTCAAAAATGAAAATATTGTCATCGTTTGTTCACCCTCACGTATGCCCTTCTTTCTTTTTCGGACCACAAAAGGAAAAATTTAAAAAAATGTCCCGCTCATGCTCATCCATATAATGGCAGTGAATATCGACCAGGATCAAGCTTTTAAAAAAAGACGCAAAAGTATCAATGATCCCATGCATGCCGTATATTTCAATATATTCCGTATATTCCAATTTTTGTTTTTGGATGAACCCTTAATCATTTCAGTCTGATTGGCAAGTTACATTCAAAATTTCAAAAATCACCTTTTTTCAACTTAAATTCACATTATAAGTGGACTTGAAAAAAAAATGTAGTTAATATTATAGTGTATTCCATTAAAATACCCTTTAAATTATTTAAATGATACTGCCTGAAATAGGGTTAGGAATCGAAAATCGATTCCAATGCAGGAATCAGATAACCTGGCCCTAGCCAGATGAATTTCGCTCCGCCTAGCTTCACTCATCCATCTGGAACCGATCCATTGAAATGGCGTTTCAGAAGGCTGGGCCTTATCAAAAATCCTTGCATATGATTGGATAAGCCACTTGTCTGTCATCTTTATCGACGTGCTATTTCAACCACTCACACCGAAGCCAACCCGTGACGCTGAAGAATCCGGTCGGGAGAAGGCACTGATCTATATAACATCGTTTCCACCAACAAAAGCCTTAAGAGCCGTTCTCTGATGTTCTTTTAATGAAACAATATTAGGTAGATTGGACAACACGGATGAAATAGCAGCATCAATGTTAACGCTAGTTTCCTCGATGCGAGCCGCCATTGTTGTCTGAATCAAAACAGTCTCACGGTCGCTTCTCCACTACGTCACATCTATGAAACTCCCGCCCTGCGTCCTGATTGGCTAAACCATAAAGTTGGTTGGAGAAATCACTCTCAATGGAAGAGGTTCCAGATGGATGTGAGTGAAGCTAGGCGGAGCGAAATTCATCTGGCTAGGGCCAGGTTAGGAATCAGATACTTAAGGGCAGGAATCGAATACTTGTTATAAAATCGTAAACCGTTGAGAAAGAAAACGCATGTGTAACAGTATATTGGATCAGTGCAGCTCTTAAAGGGGAAATGAAACGTCCATGTTTTGGCACTGGTAGTAGCTACATATATTAGAAAAATCACATTGCCTAAGATTTTATTTTAAAAAGTTGTTAAAACCACAGATATGACAATTATTTTCGTAATTTCTAGCTAGCTATCCATCTAGCGAGTCGCCATTTTGGAGTGATGTCACAGTCTACGTAACGGGGTTGGTTGGTTCTGTTGGTGAGTGAAGAGAGTGAAGCGTTTCTGGACCGGACTCAATATGCACTTGATTTGAAATGGAGGGAGACGAACTTGAAAGACCTGTTGAGCCCGTGTGTCTCATTGCTTATGCATTTGAGCCGATACGGCGTGGGAACCGAGCTAGGGTTACCAGCTGGCTAGACCTGATTTTGCGGGACACAAGGGAGAGAACTTACTATTCTTATACTAGGTGAATAAATATTGATTTTATATTAGATGTCTTTTTGCAGTGATGTTAACATGCTTTAAATTGCTAATGGCTTTATAAAAATGTTAATAATGGCGCTATGAACGTCACTAATAATATAAAACTCATTTTAACAGCACGGGTCTATTCAAACTAAATAATTAAGTGAAAATAATAATCCAATCGCTAAAAAGCACATTTCCAAATAAGCACATAAATTCCATTAGGAAAGACTAGAAAGATTAAATGCGTTCTTACCGGATTCAGTGCATCTTGAATTTATATTTTTTGTCTGATCTGGCAGCTTCGAGTAGGGCCTTCTCATTCATTATGTGTCTGTAGAACTCCTGGCAGGTGTAGCTCATACCTGTCCACACTCCCGTTTTCCCCGGGAGTCTCCCGTATTTCACATCCATCTCCCGCCCCCTTCCCGTTTTGTTATTTCTACCGTGAAACTCCCATAATTTGTATGGCCCAAATCTCGTTATATGCAGGGATGTAAACGGCACACTTTATTATTTTCATGCAAACATGTTGTTAAATGCGCAGTTTATTCCAAGCGCGCTGTATCTTTTTTTATGGGCACGAGCGATGCTCAATTTACAAATGAATCACTCTTTTTTTTTTTTTTTTTTTTTTTTGATTCTGTTCAAAGACTTCATCAAACAAGTTGGCAGATCTGTCTAAATCGGTTCGCGAATCAGTTTGAATGATCTGTTCAGTTTTCTGCACGCACTGAATCACTGAAGCGCTTTCAATTCACACTCGACTCGGAGTTGTAACAGGAAGATTGAAGAACATCAAGAGCGTTGGATGAAGTGGCCGTGGACCTAAATCGGCAAATCTATCATATTGTTTGCCAGCGATGAAGATCTTTATTAGTTGAACATCTTCGTATGCTGTCTGTGAATGAATGATTCCACAGGACGATACATTCGATTTCATTTCATTCAGGTAATACATTTTACAGCCAAACAGATTATTACGCCACGATAGCACGATCCATCTGCTGTCAAGACGATGATCTTGACCATGGTGTTGACAAGAGACAGGAATATGATTGCAGACATCACGAACAATGTTTCCATGTGCAGTTTGTTAACGTTAGACGTCGTCTTTTTGTCTGGTACTAATAAAGTTCACTAGCTAAACACCAAGTTGTCATTAGCTAGTTCATGCTTACAGCTGTTAGCTAACAATGACGTTAGTTGTTCGCTGGATCGACCAGCTTACATGCATCTTTCACTGTATTTTACTGAACTCAGCACAGAGCCTTTAAAGCCAACCAACCCCGTGACGTCACCAGTTATAATACTGCACAATGGCGGCGCCCTTGCCGTGAAATATATAACGGTGTTTCTTTTTTCTTTTATATGTTAACATTTGTCATGTTTCTTATATAATTTTTGATCATAGTGGTAATCCATCTTGTAAATTGTGTAAACTTGACTGACTGCTTCATTTCCCCTTTAAAGTGACAACAGTTTAATAGCTATCAGGAGCATTGGGATCGCTAGACGAGGGCTTAATGAACTCATGTTTGTGAAAACCTCAATTTTGACCAAAAATGTACATTTTTCACTTGTTTTGCCTGTAGCTCTCAATAAGCCTGTGCGCATTCCCACTCATTTTACCAGCATGCGTCACATTTACTCTATTATTCTCAGATCACATTGTTCAAATAAATATCAAATAAATCTCTCCAATCAAATGTTGTTTCAGATGAAAATGGACCTTCAGTCATTATTAGGACTGAATCATAATCACTGGAGTGGACGAACCCTTGGTGAGTATCGATTTTAAAATGTGTTTAAAGAGTTTAGTATTAAAGTTAAGTGCGTAACTCCTGCTCAGTTTGTACTATGGACATGAATGGTACTTCAAAATGTGAATTATACACTCACCGGCCACTTTATTAGGTACACCTGTCCAACTGCTCGTTAACACTTAATTTCTAAGCAGCCAATCACATGGCGGCAACTCAGTGCATTTAGGCATGTAGACATGGTCAAGACAATCTCCTGCAGTTCAAACCAAGCATCAGTATGGGGAAGAAAGGTGATTTGAGTGACTTTGAACGTGGCATGATTGTTGGTGCCAGAAGGGCTGGTCTGAGTATTTCAGAAACTGCTAATCTACTGGGATTTTCACGCACAACCATCTCTAGGGTTTACAGAGAATGGTCCGAAAAAGAAAAAACATCCAGTGAGCGGCAGTTCTGTGGGCGGAAATGCCTTGTTGATGCCAGAGGTCAGAGGAGAATGGCCAGACTGGTTCGAGCTGATAGAAGGGCAACAGTGACTGAAATAACCACTCGTTACAACCGAGGTATGCAGCAAAGCATTTGTGAAGCCACAACACGCACAACCTTGAGGCGGATGGGCTACAACAGCAGAAGACTCCACCGGGTACCACTCATCTCCACTACAAATAGGAAAAAGAGGCTACAATTTGCAAGAGCTCACCAAAATTGAACAGTTGAAGACTGGAAAAATGTTGCCTGGTCTGATGAGTCTCGATTTCTGTTGAGACATTCAGATGTTAGAGTCAGAATTTGGCGTAAACAGAATGAGAACATGGAACCATCATGCCTTGTTACCACTGTGCAGGCTGGTGGTGGTGGTGTAATGGTGTGGGGATGTTTTCCTGGCACACTTTAGGCCCCTTAGTGCCAATTGGGCATCGTTTAAATGCCACGGCCTACCTGAGCATTGTTTCTGACCATGTCCATCCCTTTATGGCCACCATGTACCCATCCTCTGATGGCTACTTCCACCATGTCACAAAGCTCTAATCATTTCAAATTGGTTTCTTGAACATGACAATGAGTTCACTGTACTAAAATGGCCTCCACAGTCACCAGATCTCAACCCAATAGAGCATCTTTGGGATGTGGTGGAACGGGAGATTCGCATCATGGATGTGCAGCGACAAATCTGCGGCAACTGTGTGATGCCATCATGTCAATATGGACCAAACTCCCTGAGGAATGCTTCCAGCACCTTGTTGAATCTATGCCACGAAGAATTGAGGCAGTTCTGAAGGCAAAAGGGGGTCCAACCCGTTACTAGCATGGGGTACCTAATAAAGTGGCCGGTGAGTGTATATAGTAACAGTGCAATCCTGGCAACACCTCTCAAATCAAAGTTCTAGTAATCTATTAAAAAATCGAATCTCTGTTTTTACACTTACATTGGTTTCTTATTTATGTTACTAGTGGGACCCTTAACTGACTTTAGCACCAAGAGTGGTTTAAGAAAGCACCAAACGTTGAATGAGACGACTGCAATCCAAATCCTGGACCATGCCAGAAAAGCATGTTTTTAGAGAGCCAAATATATCGGGAACAGTGAGGACTTTTCTTGTTATGCTGATTACCTAGAACTTATCATGCTGAATGTTATCAAGTATATTTCTCGTCTTTTATGAAACGGAGCGCCACAGGACAATCACTGGCATTTTCCGAGGTCATAGACCTGTTGGACTGTTTATTATCGTGCTTTGAGGACAACATACGGACGCATCTCTGGTCGAATTTATCAGCACACGTTTGGAGGTATTTCTAGGATGGTTCTGGTTGCCGAGTTTTGTTCTCAGATAGTTGAATGAATCATTTGAAACCTTGAGGACCTGTCCAGATCATATTCCACCCAAACATATATCAAAAATGTGCAAAAAAAGAGAGCAAAACTTAAGTTGTTTAAACTGTGAACAAGTATTTAAACATTTTGGTAGTATTTCTTATCCTGTCTTTAATTTATGCTGATTTTAATTAAAAGCATTGTATTACAATAAACAAAGTCTGTATAGCAATAATGAGCATTATAAGGCTTACAGCAAATCTTAAAATGAAAATGTCTGGATGCATTACAATAATGAAAATTGGGATGTCACCAAGTAAAATAGGTTTCTTAGTTATTTATGCTCAATATCATTCCTCGAATTTCCTTTTTCTTTTCATTTGGGGTGAAATGTGACCTAGAATTGTTTTATGACATTCACCTAATGGTGCAAACAGAAGTACAGAGAGCTCTGCCTTTGGTGTGTGTGTGTGCGTTGCCACCATCTATTTGAGTTTCCATATTCAGTTGGTAAGAAATCAATCCTATGCATTTATCCACTGTATACGTTGGCTGGCATTTTTATGAAGCTTTTTTAACCCTGAATGCCTAATTCCGACTGCTTTCCTGTGGTCAATAGAGCAGTCTGGGTTCACCTCATTCCTTTTGCATTGTGATGCAATGTAAACACATTTTGATACCTCTGTCTGTATATATTTAGGAAGAGACTGCTGAGGTCAGTATTTATTAGGACTTCTAGCATGCAAACCCTAATACGGGATATGTTTATTACCAGGCTGTTTTCAGACTATGTGAGGTGATGGTGAAGTAATGACCTTGTTTTCCTCTAGTACAAAAAGAGATGGGATAGCATATTGTAAGTGAGCGAGTAATCCTTTTGAATTTTGTCCTCTTTGAAAGCTCTTGTATGTTTGAGTCCGTTTGTGTGCCCCTTTTCAGATACTGTAATTGTATACATAAATAACTGATATACCCATGATATGGTTCTCTCTTACGAGGTTCCTTATTAGCCAATGCTTAATGTTTTTTTTGCACTGACCCTAATTTTGGAGTGATTATTGCTTCCTTTGACTGGGTATGTGCTCAAACACTTTTACTGGACTCCATATCCACTACATGTTCAAGTCATTACATGCCAATGTTTTTCCAATGGTATAAAATATGTATTGTTTGAAAGTTCTGTTCGCTCATTAAATATCAACAATCTTTAGATTCTTTACTTATTTGGTGATCTTCGCTTCATAAGGTTTAAGGCCTGGTTTCACAGACAGGGTTTAGACTAAGCCAGGAGAAAGACTCAGATAAATTAAGACCTACGATTAAGACGTTAGAAAGCTTTTATAAACATGCCTTAGAAAAAGAAAAAAGAAAACATATTGAGACAAAACAATGGCACTGACACTGTGTGGTACTGAAAAGATATGGGGATAATGCTAAGTCACACATTATAATTGGAAAATCGCAATACTTATTACAATATATTTGTCTTTCAAAATGTTTCAGGTTTAAAGGTCAAAGCAAAAATGGCTGATAACAGTCTTATTAGCAAAGATTATCACACCACGTGATTGATATTCAATACTCATTCTTTCTGCTAGGACTAACATGAACTAACAATGAGCAATACATTTGTTACAGTATTTATTCTTCTTTGTTAACGTTAGTTAATAAAAATACAGCTGTACATTGTTTGTTCATGTAAGTTCACAGTGCATTATCTAATGTTAAAAAATACAAGTTTTGATTTTAATAATGTATTAGTAAAATAATATGAAGTAAGATTAATAAATGCTGTAGAAGTATTGTTCATTCTTTGTTCATGTTAACTAAGGTAGTTAACTAATGGACCTTATTGTAAAGTGTTACCCAAATTTGTAAATTACTGTTCAGATTTTTGTGTCTCCCATCAGAACTGAAATGTTATCAAGCCCATGTATGAGTAATCAAAATTAACTGGAAATGTCCAATTTAATCCGTCAAAAAGACCAAATAATTATTTTTAAAAGGGCAATTTAACAAGAAAATACGTAAAGCATTAAAATAGAAATAGCTATTAAGACTTTAGATTTATTAAACAGGGCAAATTAGCATGAGAGCGCAACTCCAAAAAAGCGTTGATGAGTGTGTAAAATTCTGCTCATGATCTACTGACGACACACACATTAAAGCACACAGACGCATCATTTCCATAATGACCAACACAATATAAAAACAACAGCACAAGTTTACCTTTCTAACTTTAATAAAACATCTGAAAAATCTGCAAAGTTCTCAGGATTACTTGAATATTGTATTTTTGTAATATTGAATATTGTATTTCAATATGAATATTGAAACAGTTGTTGTTTTGTAGGGTTGCAGCTGAACATCAACATCAGTAAAATCGCAAACTACAAACTCAGATTAATGCAATTTCCACAATTAGTGTGATTAAGTAATGTGATTTAATTACATTTTCTGCATGTATTGTGCACATGGAAGTGTCTGGACCTTAGTCATAATTGTTTTAAGCCATGTCATCCTGAAGCCCAAGACTGGTTGCCCACTGAAGCTGAGCAGGGTTGAGTTTGGTCAGTACCTGGATGGGGGACTCCTGGGAAAGCTAGGTTTCTGCTGGAAGAGGTGTTAGTGAGGCCACTAGGGGGCGCTGCTCACCCTGTGCTCTGTGTGGGTCCTAACGCCCCAGTATAGTGATGGGGACACTACACTGTAACAAGCACCGTCCCTCAGATGAGACGTTAAACCGAGGTCCTGACTCTCTGTGGTCATTAAAAATCCCAGGATGTCCTTCGTAAAAGAGTAGGGGTGTAACCCCGGTGTCCTGACCAAATTTGCCCAGTTGCCTCTATTCATCATCATGGCCTCCTAATCATCCCCATGTATACTGATTGGCTTCATCACTGTCTTCTCTCCACCAATAAGCTGGTGTGTGGTGGGCGTTCTGGATCATCCAGGTGGTGCTGCACATTGGTGGTGTTTGAGGAGATTCCCCACTTCTTTATGAAAAGCACTTCGAGCACCCAGAAAAGCGCTATTTAAATGTAACGAATTATAAAGTTAATTATTTTTATTTTTTTTTAAAGTAGAAGCTGAGCATTCAAAATGTAATCCTCAGAATTATTGTGTGTAAAAATGACAGGCGTGAACTGTCCATTATTGTGCTATTTTGGAGGACCATTTTTGTACCATTCAGCACTTGTTACTTGGCTAGATACCAAGCACTGTGTAATTTCCCGAGGAGGTCTACAATTACCACTGACGGCTGGCTGGATGTTGAATGAGTTTGAAATGTTGAACAGAATGCAAAGGTCAGCAGGAACAGAACAGAGAGGTGGAGGATTTCTGATTTCACATTTTTAATGGCAGATAATTACATGACTTTTCAGGAGGCCAAAACGGACAGAATATTCAGAAAAGACAATTCTGACTTTCTTAGATAGATGCAGACAGAAAGGTAGGGGTGGTGGTGAGTGCTAAGTATACTTTCTGTCTGTCTGTCTATCTATCTATAATAAGCTATCTATCTATCTCTATCTATCTATTTATATGTGAGTGATGGAACCTAAAACAAAAATCCAGAAAATCACATTGTATGATTTTTAAGTAATTCATTTGCATTTTATTGCATGACATAAGTATTTGATCACCTACCAACCAGTAAGAATTCCGGCTCTCACAGATCTGTTAGTTTCTCTTTAAGGAGCTCTCCTGTTCTCCACTCATTACCTGTATTAACTGCACCTGTTTGAACCCATTACCTGTATAAAAGACACATGTCCACACACTCAATCAAACAGACTCCAACCTCTCCACAATGGCCAAGACCAGAGAGCTGTGTAAGGACATCAGGGATAAAATTGTAGACCTGCACAAGTCTGGAATGGGCTACGGGAGAATGGGCAAGCAGCTTGGTGAGAAGGCAACAACAGTTGGTGCAATCATTAGAAAATGGAAGAAGTTCAAGATGACGGTCAATATCCCTCGGTCTGGGGCTCCATGCAAGATCTCACCTCGTGGGGCATCAATGATCATGAGGAAGGTGAGGGATCAGCCCAGAACTACACGGCAGGACCTGGTCAATGACCTGAAGAGAGCTGGGACCACAGTCTCAAAGAAAACCTTTAGTAACACATGGATTAAACGTCATGGATTAAAATCCTGCAGCGCACACAAGGTCCCCCTGCTCAAGCCAGCAAGTAACAGCTCATGTCCAGGCCTGTCTGAAGTTTGCCAATGACCATCTGGATGATCCAGAGGAGGAATAGGAGAAGGTCATGTGGTCTGATAAGACAAAAATGGAGCTTTTTGGTCTAAACTCCACTCGCCGTGTTTGGAGGAAGAAGGAGGATGAGTACAACCCCAAGAACACCATCCCAACCGTGAAGCATGGAGGTGGAAACATCATTCTTTGGGGATGCTTTTCTGCAAAGGGGACAGGACGACTGCACCGTATTGAGGGGAGGATGGATGGGGCCATGTATCGCGAGATATTGGCCAACAACCTCTTTCCCTCAGTAAGAGCACTGAAGATGGGTCGTGGCTGGGTCTTCCAGAATGACAACGACCCAAAACACACAGCCAGGGCAACTAAGGAGTGGCTCCGTAAGAAGCATCTCAAGGCCCTGGAGTGACCTAGCCAGTCTCCAGACCTGAACACAATAGAAGATCTTTGGAGGGAGCTGAAAGGCCGGATTGCCCAGCGACAGCCCCGAAACCTGAAGGATCTGGAGAAGGTCTGTATGGAGGAGTGGGCCAAAATCCAGTGTGTGCAAACCTGGTCAAGAACTACAGGAAAAGTATGATCTCTGTAATTGCAAATAAAGGTTTCTGTACCAAATAAGGTCTGCTTTTCTGATGTCGTGCAATAAAATGCAAATGAATTACTTAAAAATCATACAATGTGATTTTCTGGATTTTTGTTTTAGATTCCGTCACTAACAGTTGAAGAGTAATAAGCTGTCTGTCCGTCCATCCATCCATAATAACGTGTTGCTGTATAAACCTGCAACTCAATGGCGTGTTGGTTTTAAAAAATATTGAGAAGGTATTGAATTTACCTCCAGGATTTCTGTATATATCTGTATATATACAGTATATATATGTATATATCCTATCTATCTATCTATCTATCTATAATAAGCTGTCTGTCCGTCTCTACCTATCTGTCTCTGTCTGTCTGACTCTATCTATCTTCACAGTTTGTAACTGGCCCAACCCATAAGGGTCATACGCTGGATCTTGTGATAGCTAATGGCTCATTTGTATCGCAGTTTTCATCTATTGACATTGGACTGTCTGATCATTCAGCCGTCTTTTTTAACCTCGAACTGTATCATTCAAATGAGCCTACCATCCGAACAGTAACCATTCGGAAGTGGAAGTCTATTGATCAGACAGCTTTCTCCAATTCTGTGGTTTCCACCTTAAGCGATCTTCATCCCTTTTCACTGGAGGAGAAAGTTCTGCAGCTAAATTCCACTCTTGCTGCTAATCTTGACACTTTTGCTCCTTTAAGGTCATGTAAGGTCACATTCGCCCGCTCTGCTCCCTGGTATAATGACAATCTGTGTTCTAGAAAGGCTGCTTGTCGGAAAATGGAGCGCAAATTGCGCCTTACTGGTCAGAGTGTCTACTACCAAGAGTGGAAGGATCTTCTGGGGGGCTATCGTGCTCTTATGGAGACTGAAAGATCCTCTTATTTCTCTCAGGCTATTGTAAATTATCAAAATAATCCCAAACTTTCCTCTTCACCGTCCATTAAGGCAATATAGGCACACGTCCTCTTCCTG